AAAAAATGTGATTTTTCAAAAAAAAAAATTTTTTTAAAACGTGAAGTATAGACAACGCTTTTACAAGAAAGCGCTGCTAAAGGGGGAAAAATAGGCATAAAAAAGCGCTGCTATAGGTTAGGAAAGGAGGGGTCTAAGAAAGCGCTTTAAAAAAGCGCTGTTAAAGGGTGGTCTACAAAAGCGCTTTCATAAAGCGCTGCTAAAGGGGGGGGAGAAGAGGGGGAGAATAGGCAGCGATTTGTAAAGCGCTGCTAAAGGGGTAAAAAAGCGCTGCTAAAAGTGATGCCTTTAGCAGCGCTTTTTCCACCAAAAAAAGCGCTGCCTTTACCTTTAGCAGCGCCACTTTAGGCAGCGCTTTAAAGCACTGCTAAAGGTCAAAAAAAGCGCTGCTAAAGGCCATTTTTGGCATAGTGAATGAAACACTAAAATATCAATATCAAGAAAAAAGATGTTCTTGTTGAATGTCCACTGATATGAAAAAATGTCTCAAAGCACGCTACAATTATACATTATGGCTTTGGCATCTTCGATTTGGATACTTAAATTTCAGAGGCTTAAAAGTGTGATGTTAAAACAAAATATGGTGAGAGATCTACCATTAATCAACCATCAGAACTAGTTGTGTGAGGATGCTTACTTGAAAAATAATTTATGACAAAATTTTTAAAGCAGCAAAACTCAAGAGTCAAGAATTGACCCAAATTTTTTTTCTAATAATTTCGGAGCGGATTCGAACGAGTGCGGGCGGGTCCAGGTTTGTTTGCCATCCCTAGTTAAATCTCATTCTCTTCACAAAACTCTTTAAATTTTTTAGAAGTGAATTCACCTTCTTGGTCTGGCCGCTTAGCTTTCATCTCCCAACCACTTTGTTTCTCTACAATAGCGTTGAACTTCTTTAAAATAATAAATACTTTTAATTTCTATTACAATAATTAAACTCATGTTTTTTCTTAAAACGTCATCGATTAAAAGAAGGAAATAATTTTTTTTTCCTAATGATCTTGCCTTAAAAGTAAATAATTTGAAATTTATCCCACTCTATTTAGTTTTAATGTCACGTCCATTATTAATAATCTTTCTAATCTTGCAATTTAGTTTTCATATTTTTTAAAATTTTCATTCCTAATTTTTTTAAAAAATTTGCATATTGATTCCTAATAATTTTTAAATTTTATAAATGGAACCTTTAGAATTTATAAATGAAACCTTTAAATTTTTAATTTTTAAAAATTAACCCTTATTTTTAAATTTGACCAAAACTTTTAAAATTCATAAAAATAATCCAAAAATTTTAACAATGAATAATTGTAATACTCTATCCAAACAAAATAATTTAGATATAAAAAAAAAATTCAATTGATGCATTTGAATTACCTAAAATTCTAAATTCTCTAGAAAACTTTTAATTAACTCGTTCAGACACACCATTAAGATATTACCTTTACCTTTCACTCGAATCTTATAATCATCGTCAAATGAGACATTTTCACTTACTGATTATCAAGTTCCCTGAACATACTATTTTTTCCACATAAACAATTGTTCGTACTAGTGTTAAGATACCATAAATTTTTTTGAAAGATCAAACATTATAATCATACTTCTAACAATTGTAGTATTGAAATTGAGATTTATTACACATTGTATCCTCTTTCATGTCCTCTTGTTGAGGTATCTCCTTTCTCATAATTGTTAATGCTGAAATTTGAACCTCCTCAACCGTTTTCACGATCCAAAATGTCCATGACCGCAAAATCGTCCTGGATCTCTACCTCAAATATGTTAACTTCTCTAATTTGTTTGACTTTCTTCATTCTCCTTTAGTTGCATCTTGAATATTTTTTGTGATCTATTACTTCTTCTGTTTTTTCGCATAAGCTTATTGGAGTTAGTTGAAAATATACATGTTGAAGAAGTTTCATATGGCTTAGTTTTGGAACAAAAGAAGGAGTCCAAGGCTATATATATTAGATACAAGTTCTCTGAAGTCCCAGATCACTTAGTTTTGTGAAGGAAGAAGGAGTCCAAAGATATATGTAGTTAAATATATTTATTTTGGAGGGTGTAAGTATATTGGGGGTCTGGGTTAATTGAGGGTATATTATATGTTGTAACAATTTTTACATAGTGTTATTCTCTGATTGTCTATTGATAACGGTCGTGGTTTTTTTCTCCGATTTTGGAGTTTCCACATTATGTTCTTGTGTTGTGATTGTTTTCCTCTTTTCTCTATATTTGTTTGTTTTTATCCAAAAATTTGTATCAGAGCTTTTGATTTGATCTGAGGATAAGTATTCTTAGTATGGTCTGTGGTTGCATTTTTGTTTGATCTTCCACGTCAAAAAAGAAGGGTAGTGTTGTGAAAGAGTTATTGAGCTGCAATTACAAATTCCTTTGTGTAGTTTGGCTAGAGAAAATCGATGGAAATTTTTTTAACTTGTGAAAAGTTCAAGTGAAAGATGTGTTGATACAATTAAGATTATACAAGATGCAAGATTATGTCGGTGGTTAAAGAGTTTCTTTCTAACAAGGAAGTTGCACCAACGTTTTCAACTTAGTTTTTTATATATGAAATTCTTAGAGTGGTTTACTTTCAAGTGAAATTTATTCTTCATGAAAAAATATGTGATTGTCGCTGATGGCAATGTGAAATTCTTGAAGTGGTTTATCTTCAAGTGAAATATATTCTTCATGAGAGAGTATGATAGTTTTTAAAAGTATGATTGTCAGTGAAGATAATGTGAAAATTCTTAGAGTGGTGTAGCTTCAAGTGACTATATTTTTTTATGGTGGAGTATGTTTTTCGGCGAAGACAGTGAAAGTCGATATATTATTTTCAATAAAGGTGGATATTGTTGAGATTGGTTGAAAATATAAATGTTGATACTTTTTATGGTGGAGTATGATTGTCAGTGAAGACAATAAAAATTAATGTACTATTTTCAATAAAGTTTGAGATTTTTGAGGTTGATTGAAAATATGCATGTTGAATAAATCCTACATCGCTTAGTTTTGTGACGGAATAAGGAGTCTAAGGCTATATATATGATACAAGTTCTCTGAAGTACAACATCACTTAGTTTTGTGAAGGAATAGGGAGTCGAAGACTATATATATGATTCAAATTCTTCGTTACAAGTTGCAGCAGTCAAAAGCACTTTAAGCTTGTCATTGACTTTCTTTGTTCTCTTATACTCTTGTACTAGAGAGGTGTGAGATGTAGTTAAATATTTGTTTTAGAGAGCGTGAGTGTATTTAGGGTCTGGGTTATTTGATGATATATTATGTGTTGTAACAATTTTAATATAGTGTTATTCTCTGGTTGTCTATTGACAACGGCCGTGATTTTTTCTCCGATTTTAAAATTTTCATGTTATACTCTTGTGTTGTGATTGTGTTCCTCTTTTTTCTCTATGTTTTGTTTGTTTATTTTCAACAAAACTAATAATAATCCTTGAAGTTTCTTTATTGTCATAATTTCTAAATATTTTGTTTTCTCATTTATCACACCAATATACTCAAATCTGAGATATAACGAGGGGAGTGTCTTTTCGATAATTCTCACACCATTTTTTAAAATTGATTTGAAATAGCGTTAAGTCTTGAAAAATATTCAAAAATAGACTTTAACTCTTTCATATACATTATGTCTTAAATTTTGGAGACACTAGTTCTTTACTTTGTCTTGACACTTGCAAGAGGTTTATGATAGAAACCAACTAATATAGAATAGGAAATAAAGAAATTCTCCTAGGATTTGATCTTCTTCTTTAGTTACACCTCCAGAATCAAAATATTTCTAAACTCTAGTCATCCACCCAACAACATCATTTTTTTCAAAGATTGATGATATTGCATGTCGTAACTCTTTGAGTTGTCTTGTCTAATTTCTAAGTTCTTTCACCGCTTCATCAAAAATACTATATATGCTTTGATACTAGTTGTAGAAATGCATTTTAAACATCTAGTTGAAAGGTGGTGTCTATCTATATAAATCTTTTGTGAATTTTATATTTAATCAATATGAGACTTGATTTTTTTGAATAGGGTGTAACACTTTATGAGATGAATCAAATAAAGATTCTAATCCAATAAGATGCCGTTAGTGTTTATAAAGCTGGGCATTATTGCAGGTGAGATCATCTAGTTGAACACATAGGAAAGTATAAATATTACAAGTGACACTGACATTACCATTTTCATAGAAAATGTTTGCACTCCAATTCCATTAATAACTATTATATTAGTGACGAATTCTATATACTAACTCAGGATAGTTTGCTCATATTACTTCACGTTTTATTCCAATTTTGACTTGACTATCGAATCAATTTTATCCTGCCAAATGGATGTAACAACTTAGTGCTGATTTATGTTTGTTCTTATTGTATAAATAAGCACACATTTTTTCCTTCTTCTTATTCACTAGTCACAATTTATTCTTGCTGCTTTTTTCAATGTTCCACATCCAATCTTCACCATTCCCTTCAAGCTTTATTCGTAGTGACAGTAACGATTGTGAATCATTCCGTTTTCTCAATAAATTTATCTTTTCTTCAACGAATGGTCTGCAGCTGCAGAATATCAGATATTCGTACATTCTCATTATGGTACCTATCAATTATTTTCATATTTTACATCCAGTAAAAATTTTTTTTTTTGCAAAATTAACCTTTTGTATGGTAAGGTTAGTTTTTTAAATAAAAAATTTAGAGGGTTTAAATCAGAAATCGCCTATAAGACGGAGGGAAAATGATATTAATTCGAAACGTCGGTATCTGTTTCGAACATCGACACACATTTTTTTAGAAATGTCGGCGCTGCATATGTTTTTGATGTTTTGATGTGTTGGTATCTCTTAGGAATATAGATCTTTATCCAAATCATACATTACTTTGGGAAGATGATTTGGAAAGAAGAATAAAGGGTAGAGAGTATCCAATTTGATCAACTTTGATTAGCTTCCTTCCAATGGAAAGAAAGGAATTTGGCATTATATTTCATTTGCTGGGTGCATTTTTATGCATCATCAGCTTCTCAATTTTGAGTACAGTAGTTAGCATCAGAAAAACAAAAACCAGAACAGACACAATACATATCAGCAGCATTAAACCAGAGGCCATGCTAGTTTTCACCTCATGAGCATATTCAGCACAAGCTAGACCAAGGAATGTTAAAGGGAATGAGTAGATCCACCATGTAACGTTTAACCTTTTTATAGTTTTCTTGAACAGCCCTGGCCTGCAAGCCTGCATTATACAAATCCTTGATCATTACAATGAAACTGGTCATTAAAATGTTAGCAAATCCTAGCTCAACTGGCAGAAGCCGATATTGCTAGGCTTGACGCCATCACCAGGGTTTGAACAAACCCTGGTACTCATGGTTCATGGTTGTGTGTGTGAGTTTCTAGTGGTTATTACCATTTCGTCTACGGACAATAAAAAAGTGATGATAGAAAGAGAGATGAATTGAACCTACCTGAGAAAGAAAAAGGAACAAAGAGAGAAAGAACAGCATCTTTGATGAAATGAGAAAAGAACCTGAGATGGATTTCCAAGCTAAACTTGCCATGCTTGGCGCAGCGAAATACAAGAAATAAGCTGGCCTTAGAACTATAGGAAACTGATTATTACTTGTTAGGCGCTGATACAGCGTCACGAATAGAACCAAATAATGTACCATTCCTAGCGAAAACATTGAAATTGCACACTCGTTCCAACCGATTTCTGTGGCGACTTGAGCCGCCACCAAGTTGCCTATAACAGAAACAAGGTTAACAGGGTTTGCTACCACGGACAGAAACCTCTTTTCCGTTGTGAACCATTGTCCGAATAGTTTTACATCAAGAAGAAATATAACAAAAGAAAAGGCCAGACAAAGAAAGTCGTAGTAACAAGTTCGCGGAACAATGGAAGACGGAGACGATTGAAGCATGAGAAGATACGAAATCCAAGGAGTATACATGTAGTTAACTCCAATATGATGTGAAAACTCATCCTTCACTGCATTAAAGTGCAAGATACACTTGAGCATATAAAGAAAAGATAGAATAGTTGCAACGAATACTGCAAGACACCAAAGTAGTAGATAAGCAACAGAAGGCATCAAGTTAAAACCATGCCATAGAGTTTGTGATTCATTGTTATGTTCACTTAAACTCTTCCATAGCAAAGCTTGAGCACCAAAGGAAAGACAGATGAAAAAGTAGCCTGCATGGATCTTAGTTAAGAATGGCGATGGTTTGGTTTTTGGGTTGGAAATGGAATCATCACTGTTTTTAGCACTAGTGTGATGATTGTTCATGGAAGCACAAACAATAATGTCAATTGTTGGCTTGACTACAGCCTCATCCATTCTATATAGTAATGATTCAGATATGATTTGTATAGATTGGTGTTTTGTCCCTACACCAATTGAGGAGATATATATAGTGCAAATGAACAAGAGAATTAAAAAAAGGAAAAGCATTCCTCTAAAGTAAAATGTGAGGAAGCTATAAGATATATTTACTGTGTGGTGCATTTTATATTAAAGAATGATGAATGGTGCATATAACCTTACAACTGTTCACTTTTTCCTTCTCCTTTGTGTAGATTTTGTCTAGACATGTCGAATACATAAAGTTTGGTCAGTAATTTAATGGGAAATTCCTTTGCATGCACTATCCACCACACCATTTTAATACTAACAGTTGTCATTATGCCTTTTGTTCCTTCTTCTACTTTCAATCAGAGTAAACAAGATACTACCACTCACTATATGTAACATCTCATTGTAAATTTTTTGTCTATTTTCATAAATATATATATATATATATATATATATATATATATATATATATATATATATATATATATATATATATATATATATAGTTGCATATGTTACAAGTTTACAGTCTGTGACATCTTATTCATTTATTTTTTCTAAGGTGAAATTTTGGTTATTAAAGTATTAGAAAGAAAAAAATAGTATTATATAGGGACAAAGATTATGATAGGCGTTGAAGAAAATGAATTTGCTTTTAGAGTTAATATTTGAATGGCTGAAGAAAATTGAGAGGAATATGCTGTAGACAATATTGAAGCAAAATAATGTGCAAGAGTTATCCTTCCAAAACAAATATAACATGTTTAGTTATTTATCAACGTTTTAGTTATAGGTTTTATTTGACAAAAATAGTATATAAACTTGCTACGGCAAATGAACTTATCGTTGAAAAACATTGCATATAAGCTAACTACTACAAGTGAGTGTGTTTTAGTTTTATTTTGGATAGGGAGTGAAAAGTGTTGGAACCAACAAAAGTGGTTTTCCACATTTCAATTCTAAATCTTACAGCATTAAGAATGGAGTCATCTCTAGTATATATTTAATATTCAACTCATTCATAGTCGATGTGAGTATAACTAGTTGTTAGAATTACCACTACAAAGAAAATTACATTTAGCTAGAGGTTTAACTTTTCACTAAAGAAAAAACTTATCACAAAACATCAATTTGTAAGAGAATATGACCCCTAGTTAATCAGAGCATCGCAAATTAATGGTTAGGGGATAATCCCTCGCAAATTTAGCTAGAGGATAACCCCTCGCAAATTGTCTTGGAAAAAATTTAATCTACTACACTGCAGACAATAGACACATACTAGCGCACAGACGTGTCAGAAATTTACTAAGGGATAAATCCCTAGCTAAAATCACATGTGTTATACATTTAGTGCCAGTTTGTGTCATACTTTTGCGAGGAGTAAAGCCCTTAACAAATTGTCCTACGTTTTGGAATTTATGAGAGGTTTAACCCTAGTTAATGATTATAAAATTATTATTAAAATTTATAATTATATTATTATAATTAGAATTATTATATAATAAATTTTTATTAAAATTTATAATTATATTATATAATATGTTTCTACAAAAATATATACTTTCTAAATAAAACTGTATACTTCTATAAAAATATATACTTTCTATAAAATATTATATAATATGCTTCTACAAATATATTAATATTTTAAAATATATATACTTTTTAAATAAAAATGTATATTTTTTAAATGAAGATTGTATATGTTACAAATTATATTCTTTATATAAAAAGTGCATATTACTTAAATATATTTCAAATTATATATTTTTGTGATTTAACTCATATTTTTTAAATAAAAATGTATATTAATATATAACTAATCTTTTATAAAAATATATATATAATATGTTTCCAAAATTAACTATACAAATACTCTTTCATTAAAATATTTAATATATACAATCTGCTTTTACCATTTACTAATATAAAAATATTCTGTTTTTTAAACAAAACTTAATATACAATACTATTTTCAATAATATGTTTAATATATAATCTATTTTTTAAAAAATACTTTTTATAAATATATTACTAAAACTTGTTTTTAAAATTTAGTTTATAAACCTGTTTTATAATTTAGTTTATAATTATTTTGTTTAATATATTGTTTAATATATTATTTTGTTTTATAATTTAGTTTATAAACCCGTTTTATAATTTATTTTATAAATATGTTTTTAACATCTGTTTTATAAATATATTTAATATATAATCATTTAAAACATTATTTAATATATAATATGTTTTTAAAACATTTAATATATAATCTGTTTTTTTAATAATATAAACTAAAATAGAATAAAAAAATAAATATCAATATCAACAAAATCAACACCAATATCACATGTAGTCAACACCAAAATCACATCAAAATCTATTTTATGAATAATAATATATAATCTATTTTATAAATATATTTAATATATAATCTATTTAACACATACTTTTTTTTTAATAATATATATCAGCATCACACCAAAATCAACATATATAAATATCAACTACACCTAATCTTGAGAAAAAAATAAATGTGTACCCGTTGATGTTGTCTTAAACTTGAAGCTCCTTCTAAACTAAAATTTGAGACCTTTAAATCACTATTTGCATACATGCAACAAAACAGTAAATAAATAAATAATTAAATTACAAAATAGTTATAATATAACAAAAATATTTACTTAATATTTGAAAGAAAAAAATTAAACCTTTGATGTAGAAGAAATTAAAACAGTAGGAAGGTGGAAAAAAGAGGCCGGAAGAAGAAGGGTGGAAGAAGACTCAAGTGAGTAAGGAGGGAAGAGAGAAAGAAAAATAAATTTGTAATGAATGAGACAGATTTTGAGAATTTAATGTGTTGCATTTATGAGGGGCTGCCCCTAGCCATTGATAACGTGTGGCAGTCCCTCTTCTGTCACGTAGCAACATGAATAAATATTTTTTAGGGTGATTTGACTAAAGTAATTAACATGGTGAGGGGATGGCCCTAGCAAAATGTATATCTTAAATTAGTGAGAGGGTTGACCCCTCGCAAACTGTAAGCATTGTCATCATTTTTGGCGCTATCCCCTACCAAGTACAACTTTTAAAATTCAATTTTTTTTTGCGAGGGGTATCCTCTAGGTATTATTTTATATATATATATATATATATATATATATATATATATATATATATATATATATATATATATATATATATATATATATATATATATATATATATATATATATATATATATATTTTTTTTTTTGCTTATTCTTTTATACATTGCGAGGAGTTAAACCCCAAGCTACTCAGTTTTTTTAGCGAGGGGCTTTACCCCTAGCCAATGCCCCTAGCTAATACCAACTTTTCTTGTAGTGTACAATAAATTTTTTATGTTGAAATTTCACTTAATTTTTAGAGAATTTCGAATAAATGTTAATGAACAATAATCAATTCTTTCAATTGATTTTCCTCTCGTTATTTACTCTTCACTTGAGTAAATCAACCACACTTTAGTTGTAAGATGATTCAACTGTATAGAAATTTTAGAAAAAAGAAAAAGATGAATTGGGGAAGAAAAGAAAAAAAAAATTAGGGTTTGAGAGAAAAGAGGAAGAAGGAAAATATTTCTGCAGAGTTTCTCTCTGCCTTCAAACTGAAGTTTATTCAACATTTTCTTTATGCAACTGCATATTATAATGATAGCGTACCTCTCTATTTATAGACTGGGATTGCTTGCACACCAAGCAATCTCTAACTAATCTAACTCATTTAAAATACAAATTAAAGTTATGTCAAAATTTCTATCGAGATACACTTCTTCGATATTTCGACAGCTATACCAATTTTTGCGCAAAGCATTTCGACAATAATAGACTCTGCCGAAATGGTGCTTTAACACAAAAATTTACACTTTCAACATACCACCTAATTCATTGTATCTAAGATATCTACACTCATCATTATTTTTAATCTTTTGAACACTTCGACCTGCAGCCCTTTCGTCATGATGTCTGCAATCTAATTCTCAGTTATGTAGTGTTCCAAGTTCAACTTTCCATTTGCTACTTGCTCTCAAAGATAATATAACCTTATTTTGATGTGTTTGCTTCTTCCATGTGCTATCGGATTCTTCATCAGATTGATAGAAGACATGCTGCCGATCTTCATGGTGATTGCTCCATGATTCTTCCTTGTAATTTCTTCGACCAAATTCACCATCCATGTTGCTTGACACACACAAAGGGAAGCAGCTATGTACTCTGCTTCACACGACAATAGTGCTACTACTGGTTCCTTTCTTGAGCTCCAAGCAACTGGTGCACCACCTAGCATAAACACGTGACTAGTTGTTGATTTTCTATTCTCATCATCACTACACCAACTTGAGTCAGTGTAATCCACTAGCTTGCATTCTTTTCCTTCATTAGATGCAGGAAACAAAATATCATAGTCAAGAGTTCCTTTGAGATATCTTAGTATCCTCTTCATCGCTGCTATATGTGATACCTTTGGTTTTTGCATGAATCTACTAACCATACCTACATTGTATGCTAGATCAGGCCTTATGTGAAAAAGGTATCTTAATGATCTAGTAAGTCTTTTGTACTGTGCTGGGTTGACTTCATCTTCATCTGAGTTTTACTTGTAAAGAAATCAAATAGAAAATGGAGAATGTGTGTTGACTATATTGATCTTAATAGGGCATGCCCTAAAGACGCTTATCCGCTCTTCAACATAGACAAATTAGTTGATAATTCTGCCGGTTTCAAATTATTATCATTCATGGATGTCTATTCGGGCTACAACCAAATACCCATGGCCAAAAGCGATAAAAGGTACACAACTTTCATGATCGAATTGAGCAACTATTACTATAACATAATGCCCTTCGGTTTGAAAAACGTTGGCGCCACCTACCAAAGAATGATGAACAAAGTCTTCCAAGGAAAAATCAGGGATATGCTCGAAGTTTATATGGACGACGTGATCGTGAA